ACTCTTGCCATTTAGGGAATTTCCGAATGATTCTTCGAGTATAGGCCTTGAGAGATTTAGTAATTACTCGGTCCAAATCCCTCAGTTTGGAAATGAATGCCAAACACTTTGTTCTCGTACAGCCTGTTGTAAGTTAACTATAGTAAGTAAGACGAGTTTTAAACTAACTCGGAAGTCTTTTATTGTTGCTTAAAATTTTTCGCACCTTTTCCATGAAATGTTGGAAAGTTCAGACTTTCACAAGCTCAATCAGATCGTTCAAAAACTAAAAAAAAAAGTAAACAAAAGAAAAATTTTTTATGATAAACATAAAAGAGACTGACTTTATTATGGCTGATTTTAATGGTATTCCTGGTCTGATTTTATTCGCTTTTAAGAGTGCTGAACGATACATAGCCAATATATAGCATATGTTATTTATACATCCATTCTTAGAAATATTTCAGAGGAAGTGGGGGAAGTCTTTTCGGTGGAATATCTAGTGATAGATTATAGTGATAAACCTCTTAATTTTCAATCGATTCACCCTATTTTGCATATCTTTTTCATTAGAGATCATGACCTCAGTAGAAATGAATCACAACTTTTACGAATTAAAATCCAAGGACAAGTACAAATTAAGCAAACCGTAGTTTCATTTCAATTGATACATTTTTCATGCCGTGGCTGTACATTCCTATATTTCTGCTACACTTAGGCTAAATATGTTCTCGATCGTTCACATGGATTTTCTTATACATTGTTTTTGGTCTTTTGAGGTCACAGTTATTTTTTTTATATCTTTCTATCAGTCTGTTTTTTTTTAATCTGTATTGCCAATTGACAGGTCATGTCTACAGTCAGAATTCCCCAAACTTTAGTTGCACAATAAGGTTCATTTAATTTGATTTTATATCATTCCATTTTTTATCAACACGCTTAAATATCATGAGAGAAATTTTGAACTGCATGATCGAGATATTTCAAATACGTGTCATCTTAACACAATCTTCAATTGGCACTGATTGATTTGACCTAAAGCTAAACGCCTTTTTTTAGCCCACTCACTCAATGACTAGACAAATAGGTGTAGTTATACATGTTACTGTATCCTTCGGTTTTCTTCGCCTCTTTAGAGATATAGTCGAATTTATCGGGCATATTTTAAATTTTGAGCGTGTACATTCTTATTGACGAGATGAATAATGACCTCCAGGAGCTATATTCAATTATAAGGCGGCTTTTAAAAATGTCTAATGCGGTTAAGCATGGGTTCCTAGTTTGTCTTCTTAGAATGAAATTTAGGAAATTTTTTCACTTTTGTAAACAGATATCAATTACTTGAGAAAAACTAATGAAAGAAAAAAAAAATCTGAATTACTGCAAACTGCAACATTTAGTCAAAACATGTCACATTGCAGTTCAATTTGCCAATTCGTGTAAGTGTAAGTTGGTACAAGACCAACCTCGAGATCTCGTAGTCTTACGTAAGACAACGTAAATGTGGTGGCGACAATCTTGTTGGGATCGGCACTAATAAGTACAACGTCTAGTCCGGAAAGCATCAATGTGACACGCCGCTAGATGTATTAGCTTGACCACAAGATTCTCCGATACGAGTAAGCGCGTGTTCGTGTCGCTAATTCAAAGGTTACGGAAAAAAATAGAAAACTGCAGAGTCCCAAGGCTGAAGACATTAATTAGAGAATTATTGAAAAAAAAGGAAAAAGAGGAAAAAAGACAATGCTCTTGATATATGGACACCATTGGCCACCGATAAAGGAGGTTAATAGTTTGAGGAGAAATTCCAATGGCTTTGGGACGTAGAAAATTCGTAATGTTTTTATAATCGTTGAATAACTTCACTTGTCCTTTCATGTCAGTACAACGAAACAATTACCCATCAATGTTCTAATTGTTTGAATGTTTATTTTTTGTTTGTTTGTAAAGGATTTACGATCCCAGCAAGCGGAAAAAAGAAATGCATTCAGGTTTCTGACGTACAAGCCGGCTCTATGTATTCAACCAAGGTCAAGAACAATAGCATATTGATTTTTTGAGATGTGCACATTTCGAATCAATACAGCCGAAAACACGAACAATTCAGCTCAACAAGATTATATTCGAATATTTCTTTTTAATTTCCTCGGAATATAACATAATCCATTTTAAGACCCCTCAAGATTTCTCCTCTGTGAAAATTTTCACTTGACTGACACAGTGCCTGATTTTCAACCAACAATAAAAATATTGTCATTAACTGTTATCTCTCAAAAGTAACGAAACTCTTGACGAACAAACTGATAGAAACGATGAGAAAGAGAAACAGAGGAAAAGAACAAGAGGAAGAAGCATTCAAACTGACGAAGAAATCAAAACGCGATGGAAAATCACATTTGCGCACAAGCAGTCATGTTGCTGACTAAGCGAAACAACGTTAAGCCATATCTAAGAGAAGCTCAACATAATTATAATTGTTCTCCAAGGGTTAGTGTTACGGTATAATCTAACCGACAGAAAAACACTACAATCCTACAAACTCAACTTCTTTATTTAACAGCAAGTAATGTTCTTAACCAGGAGCGATTCCTAAAAGAAGTACAATACTTATTGTTAATAAACTTAAGTAAGCTCACCACAGTCTATATCCTAGCACACCACTGACACCATCTCACTGCTGTCTCCAAAGTTCCTTGAAATGAGCAATCTTCTGCAGTAACTCACTCCCTCGGTATATGGCTTTCGAAACAGTCGTCGCTCCGAAAACAACAACAACTACTACTGCTTCTACTATGACATAGGTGAGTCTTAACATATAATCACAAAGTGTTCTGCCGGGTACATTCCAGAAGCTCATGTAAGAACTATTTTAGTAGTATTTCGTAATAAACACGTGACTTGATAAAATGTTCTAGAAAGTTCTATGGTATGCAAGTCAACATGAATAAATAGTCTGGAGATTTTTGGAAGCTTGTATTTACAACAATAGAGACCTTTAGATCCGAGAACCAGGACCAGGACCAGGACCAGTTTTGGCCGCGCGCGCAATGGCACTACAGACTTGTCCTCGAACTGGTACGCGTCAAAATGGCAACATTTATATTGTAAACAACCAGTGTCGGTGCGAGCTTTTTAGTTTTCAAGCTGCTTTCTCCCTGATTTGACCATGTTATATATTGACGATGTATTTGAAGAGGTGGAGGTTATACAGATTATCATGGACACAAAAAAGGACAATTTGTAATTTTACAATATCTTTCATTTCTTTTTCATTTAATTGTTCCCCGCAATGGCCATAAAGCTTTCAAGAAATATTTTAATAAAGTATTGATACTGCTTTAGTACTCTCAATTTATCTTGTAAAACAAAAACGCAGTTCGCAACATATCAACTTGGCCTCATTTGTTTACATAACAAAGCGACAAAAAATCAGCTCTTCTCTCTTCATTTGTTTCAAATTGGATATCAACACTATAGTTTACACAACTGAAAATATTTTTTTAATGTCTTTTGAAAGATAAAAGCATTGTCAACAATAAGTAAACTTAACCTTACCTTTAGTACTCTCAATTTATCTTGTAAAACAAAAACGCAGTTCGCAACATACCAACTTGGCCTCATTTGTTTACATAACAAAGCGACAAAAAATCAGTTCTTCTCTCTTCATTTGTTTCAAATTGGATATCAACACTATAGTTTACACAACTGAAAATATTTTTTTAATGTCTTTTGAAAGATAAAAGCATTGTCACCAATAAGTAAACTTAACCTAAAAAACTGGTTTCGGGAGGGTGACTTTTTAACAAAAACTCGTCGTCGACCACTTAGGGAGGACGAGTTTTTCAGGTTGCCTGACCGTGACAGACCTAGTGTGATGCTCAGTATGCGCACGCGTAACAAAACTGATCCTGATCCTGGTCTTGGTTCTCCGATCTAGAGGTCTCTATTAACTCATATCACTAGATGTTAATCAAATCAGATTAAATTGACTCCGAATTACTTTTTCCAAAATAACTGTTCCCTCACCTATTTATTTTTATTTTCTCCTGTAGAAATCATCCCGTTGTGGTATTGTAAATGATGTTAATTATAAGTTCCTTTCTAGAAAACTAGTATTACTATGAATGCGATGGAAGGAACGAAACTATTTATAGTGGTAATAGGACCGAGTGGAGTCAAATTCTGTCTGTAATCATACAAGTGATTAACAAAATCGGATGAGTGCGAAGCCCTTTAACTGTCTTATAACATTGTGCAATTACAAGCATGACGCGTGCAGTCCTATCAGTGTTAAAATCGGGCTGGTGATAATCAATCACATTCTAAAGTTTTGTTCTAGTTTTGATTAACCTTGGTCTAAGTGGGAACCGTGATGAGACGCTATTCTTAGCAAAGCAAGCAAGGCAGGCGTACACATGACAAACCAACACTTCTTTAGAAAAAAATCGAATAGTGTACGATTACAAAGAACCACACCAGTTATTCGCATTATAGAGCTAATTGAATTACTAATATTGCAACTTTTTGCAATGAGTTAGGCTAAGCGTAACATAGGAAATACAAGGCTCTACTTTGCTTTGAACCCTTGTCGCTTACATGAATCCTTTTCAGTTAAGGAGGGTGAAACGAAGTAATCATGAAATAACAGATATACGTTGATAAGTTGCCATGTGAAAATGTGGTTTTGAGACCGAAAAAAACTGTCATGTAAAAAATCCATGATCTTGAATGATGTTACTTGTCCCAGGAAGTGTATTTGAGATGCAAACTCAAGCAGACGCTTCATTATGTTATTTATAACACGTTTCACCTCCTCCTCCCTCAACACCCTGCTCCTCATGTGATATACATTTCGCTTCTGAAAGTATAGGATTAGTGGATTTTGTAGATATCACCAGGCTCTTTGCAGTGCAATACTCAGTTTTATAAACATGGGTAACTTGACAACATATTGAGTTAATTTTCTACCATATTTACGGTACAGTTTTAAATCAGCAACGTATTTGTGAGTACATATTTTTTCAGCGTAGGAGAGGCCACTTAATGTGTTTAAAGCTACATTTTTTTGTATTTGCATCACTAATAGTCATCAAGGACAAAGTGCCATCAATGTTTGTGCCTAAGCACCTTGAATTGTGTGTATATGTAAAATAGCCAGAATCACTGTCACGAGCTTCAGTAAAAATAAAGGCATCAGCAGTTTTGTTATTGCAGCCATTCTGCTGTTCCTGTGAATGTAATAAAAACGTAAAATTAATTAGGGAAGATCTTTTCCAATTTAAGGCCAATGATAAAAAATGCAAAGCAGTTTAAGTCCATTTCTCTAGGAAAGGAGCGATAAGAGGTAACTACTGTTTCACTGAGTGTATGAGGATATGAATTGAAGTACTGTTGTTCATTGTTAAGTAAAGGCATGAAAGAGTGTACAACTCCTTCGTTACATCTTTTATCGACCACGATGATTATATTTCTGATATTGTTTTGCGATCTGCTCACCTCAAAAATGATGCTGTTTATGGAGTCAACCTTCATTGCATATTTAACATGGCTGGGTGAAGTGACTTCAATGCACTTTGTAATGTTTGGGGTTGACTTATAAACCCTAACAATGGTAAATCCTACAAAAAAAAAATAATTACCCTTGTGAGCTATCGTTTTTCAAAAGGTATCTCCTTGCACTCATGACTTTAGTTAGATACAACTAGTGTCTAGGTCTGTCAAATCGACGTCTTATTCATGATATCGCCTACGTTATAGCTAAGTGATACTCCTTTCTCTTTGTGGCCTTCTCTCCTTTGTATCATTTCACATTCTATGTCAAGTTCAATGTTAGGATCAGGCATTCTAAGTCTCTTTCGCTTTGATCTGATGGACACGAAAAGCAGGCCAATGAAAGCTGATTACATACCACCCTTAGACGATGATTTGGAAATCGTCATTTTAATGGTATGAGGTACTTTAGCCATCAGCATTTATTCCCATCATTTTTCATTTTTCATTAAGTCACTTTTTAAAGAAAGCACTTCTCATCAAAATGTGTGCTTGTGTCATCACATATTCATAACCATCAGTTTTACAAATCCCATCCTAGTCTATTTCAAGTCGAAAGATAAAAACAGGGACGAGTGTAAAGAATTCATGTACACTTTTATAATAAAATAAAATTTTCATCAAAGTTTACTCACTCGCTGCTGGATCTGTGGTCGTTGTACCATTAACTCTAACCTGACATTTCCTCTGACTTGTTGAACACCTCTGAATCTTCATCAGACATGCTTTAGTTGTAAGAGCGTCGCATATCGCTGATTTAAGGGTTTTATTTTTACGTTCGTTTGACTCGCTGAAGTCCACGAGAACTACCAGGCACACAACGACAATCTAATGAAAAAGTAAAATAAAAACACTGTGGTGTTTCATCAACACAAAAGAGAAACTTTTTATTCTATTAGTTTTCATTTTTTTTTTTTTTTGCATGTTTTCTTCTATCTTGTTATTTTGTCGTGTTTTGAACTTTTTTTCCGTTTTTCTTTTGTTTTATTTTTTTAATTATTCAAGAAAGATAAGGTATCTGGAGGGTCTGATGTACTAAGGAAATATTCTTCAAATTCGTTAACAACCCTCGTTCAGCGTGTCAAGAATTGAAAAGAAAAATCTAAGTGATTTCAGATGAATTTAACCAGACATTCAAGATAGCGAGACATATTGTCACAATTTCATAAGAACTTTACCATTATCAAAACAATTTCAATACATTAACCTTTAAGTGACACAGAATGAGCATGTAACTGAAACACATACAGAGTACATATATCCTATTAGACGTTTTGGTGTATTATCGCTGATACCACACGCCAAAACTAGCTATACTCAGCGATACAACATACCAAAACGTCTAATAAGTTACTTATCATCCAACTGCTTTTTTTTGTGCTAAGTCTTTCTGCTCATTTCTCATAGGGGCGGGAAAAGCAAATAAGTTAGAGAAGAGTAGCGCGCGCAGCCGAATCATTATGGTTAAAAAGGTATTTTTTTACAGTACAAAGTAAACAACTGTCCAAGTAACCGTATAATATCGCAGGATATTTGTGGCGATTCATTTGAAGAACCTATCTGGCTGAAACATTTAAACCATAGAATCTATCAAACTAAATCAAATATGTTTGATATGTGAAATTACCCTAACCTGAAAAGGAACATTCGATGTACAAGCAAGGACTGACAATGACTATATACTTACTGGAAACATCTTTTTCAACTCCATGATCTCTGGTTTCTTTTCTTTCAATTTCAGTCAGCTTTGAACAAGTGTATATGTGAGTTCGTCTGCCATATGCCATCTGCCACCTCTTTTATACCTGCATTCTCTTAAAATGATCAGACAACTAACTGCTATGGAATGTATTTGGTTACGAAACTTCACCACTTCCGAAAAACAATTTGCAACAAAAACAAATGCATCAGGATTTGAAAAAGCCTTCTTTGTTGCGAACGGATATCCTTTATTTTTATCGCACGTTTATTGTCTAATAATTATTTTTCAAATCTAAAATCATACAATTTTTCGAATATGAAAGTAATTTCCTTGACTTAATCCACCGAAAGATAAAAAAAAAGGAAATTAATAACTCTGAAAGGTAGGGGTATCTTTCTGAGAATCTACCAGGGATTGTGCTCTCTTCCTTTAGGAAGTCTTCCAGACGGAATTGACTCTTCCTCTCTTGGAGGTCTATCGATGAAGATGAAAAATAACTATTCCTCAGTCGTCTATAATGTGCGAGGAGGTACGGTGAATCCTTCACCACATCAGGAGAAAAACGTTTTGGCTAAATCAAATACTCCACCAGATATAATAGATAAGTTGAACTCCCGTTGACTGAAAACTACAAGGAATTTTTGGTTTGATGGGAGTTCTCTGAGTTATCAGAGCAAAGGACAGGAAGTTTTTACTACTATTCAGTCAGAGTACAACATAATAAAATTATATCATCGTAGAGCAAAGACTATATAGAGGAAGAAGAAGTCAAGCAACCAGATGGTCAATTGGTTTGTGTAAATAAAGGAATGGGAACAGAAATTAAGAAAAATAATTTACGACTGCGTTAATTTTTGGACTAAACAAAAGATTTTTGTGTGACCCATCATGTATTGAAGAACAAGGCTGATGAATTCGTTGGTAAAGAAGTGTTAAAAGGTCAATTCATGAATGAGGATTACTGTACTATCATACATGGAGTAATTTTTTCTTCTTAGTGTATAAAACGAAGGCAATAATCACTCTCACTTAATTTTCGTGTATACTTCAAGTACAGTAAGAGACAAAAAAAACTTTAAATTGGCTCTTACCTATTAGGACAGGACAGGAAAGTAAACAACGTGGAGCGTACAGGAAAAGTGAAGCCGTCAAACACGTGGCGTGTGGGGCATTGAGCCCAAACAAAATTGAAACTGGGAGTGGACGTAAAAAAGTTTAAGTACGATCAATTGTTACTGAAAGAGATTTAAAGTAATTGTTCATGCAAATTTCCTATAGCAAGGGAAAGAAATCAAAAGACGAATAAATTAAAGTGGAAAATTGATAAACAGGAAACCAGCATGCTAAAAATCTCTAGTTTAATTGCCGCGCAGAAAAGACTCCATAAGCACCCAAATTAACTTCAAGATTTCTTCACATGCCCTTTCACTACCTAGCTTGTAGTTGTGGGCAACAACGATTAAAAAAAATTGTCACTTAGTTATGATTATAATTCCAGAAATTGTAATATTTTTCAATTAAAATCAAAGTGTTAGTTTGAATCAATGTATGCTTACGCGATAACTTTGGTCAAATTAACTAGTGCCTATTTGGAGTAAAGACGCTCGCATAGTTTTTAAACTGTTAACAGTCTGTTTGCATTTGAAATTTCTAATCTATTAATTACAAGTTCTAAACTTCAACTCGCCGATGTAATGATCGTTTCATTAAAGAAGTAACAAAACATTCATGGTAACAGGTTATTTGTCGGTTTGCATCATCATCATCATCATCATTCGCGTTCAAGTTTAAGTAAACTTGAAAAAGTGTTTTTCTATTATGTTTTCCATCTTCGTTTTAGGGAAGCTGGACTAGCGTGACCTAAGCGACATTCCCGATGCATGACTCCCGCTTAGCTCTTGCCTCCTCCCCACGATTAAAGGAAACGGAGGAAAAAAACCGCCAAACAGTCTATTTTGAGATTCTTTAAGCGTTTTAACAATTACTGGCGGTTCATCCTATACTATTAGCAAAATCTTTCCACAAGAGTAGTCCGGAAGGAAACATCAATGTACCCAAGTGTAAAGAATTATCTGGCACGCGAAAAGAAAAAAACAGAGTTATTTGATAACCCTACAATGAAAAGAATTTGTTTCTGTCTGAGAAAGAATTGTGTAGGCGGTAATTCTTCGCTTGAGCAGACCTTGATCGTCAGTTTACTGATAAGGCGTTATGGTACTGCAAAATTTCGCTGAATGTTGCTTTTTTTAACGATCTCACTGAATCTATCTCCTTTCTTATCATCGAAGGTACGAGAGAGATAAATGGGTATGTTTCTAAAGAAACTGTGGTGCTGCGTCGTAGGGGGTAAAGCAAGATGATTTGGAGCTCTAACGAAGGGCTAACGCCGATTTTACGAAATATTATCCAATCTGTTGAAAAAACCAACTCTATGAGAGAGACAATTCGACATAGAAGATGTCTGACTTGTTCAGAGTTATTATATCCGTCTTCTTCATCCAAGATTCTTAAAGACTTCTCTGCACACTAATTTCCACAGGTGACGCAACTAAGAACCCATCACTGGGATCTGAATTACTAACTTCGGACAGAGTTACTCAAAGGTGCAGTGACGCAAAAACGAGCCACGTTTCGAAGAATACCTTTCCCAATCGTGTTTTGTATTCTCTATATTGGATGTTACATACGTAAATAAACGAGGTAAAGATGTTCGCCGTAAATGATAACTTTGGTGCTAAAATACTTGCAAAAAGACGCTACCTGCATTACTCACTCCGCTAATAGGAGGTTTCATCTCCCTCTTGATATATATCAATCTTTGGCGCTAAATACTTAAGAGGCTACTTGCATTACTCAATCCGCTAATAAGAAGTTTCATCTCCCTCTTGATATATATCAATCTAAATTTCAAGTAATCTGTTCTGGATTGTCTCAGGATTAGTTTGTTTTGTAGTTCGGTATCAACTCACATAGCTAAAAAAAAGGAATAAGGAAGGTCCAGGAATGGACACAAACTCTGAATGGCAACTCATAAAAATACTTTCACCGCACAAATCAAATTGATCCTTTAATTTCACTCATAACGGAGGGAGTAATTTTGAGAACGTCATGATTGGAAAGGATGTCTTAGAATGGCAACTATTTGTATATTCGAGTAAAAACGCAGAAATTATACTTGATTGTGGTCTGGCAACTTCTGCTTCTTTATCAAATAAATCGACACTGTGGATTCACTCCCGCCATGTTCATCTACATGTTGTTCGTGTCCTTGGAGACTTAAGTTTTGCAACCATGTCATTTGCAACCCGTTAAATCTTATCCATGTGTTATCATCCTCGCGGCCCAATTTGCCTCGTTCTTTCCATTCGTGTGTTTTCGAATTCTGGACCATAGCAACATTTTCTTTCAAACTCTCAATCTCAATTTTCCTTCGTTCATTTGACGCTCATGTAAGATGTGGGGTGTCACTATTATGAATTAAAGCATTTGTGTTTCGACCCCCATTTGTTGGTAGATCTATTCTTGCGGGAAAAAAAAGGAATATAATAACTGTAAAAAACATAGAAACTGACAAACAAGCGAGCATTTACTGAAAACTGTAAAGCCATGGGACAAAAAGTAAGAGATACGTAATTTCTGGAGGATAAGAGAAACTGAATTGAGACTGCATGTGAATACACAAAGGGACTTTGAACCCCAGCATTAGTAGTTTGGAGATGCATGTATGATAGAACTTGCAAGCTTTAGAAAAAGGGGACACCAATTCTTTAAATGGCTCACGGTTCAATTACGTTGGCTAGTGAAATGAACCGGCGTGGGAGTGATGGCTAGTTGAAAATTCCACCCACAAAGATGTAAGCCGCTTGTATGTGGAGGTATGAACTCGGTAAGACACGGCATACGTGCCGGCACGTCTAATACTTCTTTTGGAATTCAGCTCAGTTTCGCTCGAATAATAAAGCCTGTGATGGAGCTTGAAAGCGATAAAAACAGCCTTTGATTCACACGTAGACTGGCCGTTTAAGTCTAATTGGAAAATAAAATTTACCTTACATCTTAAACCTTCACTTCCTAGGGAACGGAATCGCAACTCGAACGGGAACTCAAAACTTAATCAAAGTGCTTTGTGAGCAAACTCGTGAATTGACAGATGACTTACATGATTTTTGGATTATATTTAATGCTATCTGGTTTAGGGAATTTTGTGGTTGATTGTCATACATAGAGTACGAGCAGTAGTTCAGTGTTCGCTAACGTAGCATAGAAACAAAGTAACGTTGGGATGAGAAGGCATCACAATTGAAATGATCATGCTATTACATTTGGCAAGGGTGGATGATGTCATGTGTTTTAAACATATATCATTTTTAATTCTGGTTCAAAAGAAAAGGTCGGAAGTAAATGTGGGTAGGAAGTGAAATTTACCGTCTATCATGAAAGACTCTTACTTCAAAACAAACGATGCCAGTATATTCGCCAGGCTACATTCTGAACCATTTACGCCGAAGATCTTCAGTGTGAATCTTTGCCTTTTTCCATATAATCCTTAAAAAATCTTGGCGTAAATTTAGCAAACCTTCGCCGTGACCTTTAAGTGGAATGCATCTTGCTATATTCGGCGGAACGGGTGGTTCATTTACGCCAGCAGAAACATTATGAACACAAAACTGTCGAACGTCAATACATCCAAGAAGAACCAAGAATAAAAGCTATAGCCAAAGAAAAAAGCCATTTCTCAAGGGAGTCGACTTACTTCCAGTTCAAACACGACTTCGGCGCTCGCACGATGTACACTAATTTGAGCCCACGATAGTCCGCGCTTTAATTTTTTTTCCATTGGTAAGCGGCTCAACAAAGAAAAAAAGTTCACAGGAATCGACAAAGCGCTTTTTTCCCCCACACACCTCTTATACTCATAAATGCTACGCATTCACTCGTAAAAATGAATAGATCTGGGCGTTTTTCATTTTTCCATCAGCTTTTAACACATCAGCTAAGCTTTCCCCAGGAACAAAGTAGCTAGAAAGGCATACGAGCGCACGAAAATTCATCACTATTGAATGAAGACAAGCGTAA